ATGTATGACATAAATTCCTTAGTTTTATCCCACACACTGCTTATTTAACGCCCACGCTCTACGTTTCTGGCTGGTACCCTAAATATTATTTCAATTTTACGACTTATAATGGACTTCACGTGCCTAGCTACCTCGAAAATTCGTATAGGATTACTAATTCTGTGGCTATTGTGTATTAAGAGCAAACACTTTTGGGGGTAACCAACTAACAACCTATCTATAATTTAGGGAAGCTGGTTTTATCATTTAAACTCACATTTTAGCTAACTATACTTATAGTTACTAATTTAGGTGCCCCATTTTCGCATACAAGCCTCAAAGATGGTTAAAAAATACATCGATGTTGAGTAGAATAAAAGAAAATTTACAATTGGCTCTTGGGGATAACACTTAAACAATTCGACTTTTTTTAACCCTAGATTACTAACCTTATCTTAATATACTTTAAACACTAACCATTTGTAAAATTTACGATTTTTTTTTAAATTAAAATTATCAATTTTTTTATTATAATGATTTAGACAAGTGTTTTGTTTAAGGTATAGAAAAGGTAATTTCGACGAAAGAAATCACTTTCTGGTTTTTATTAAAGCAATTAACAGAACAGCGTGCGCGCGTTGACAATGCTTACAATATAATGTTTTTTTTTTGAAGGATAAATATAACAAGTAGTTCGTTTGGTTGCAGGAGGTTTCTCTTGAAGTTACTGAAGCGTGATATCGATGATTTCACGAATCAGAACTTTAAGTGAACGTTGCAAAGTTGGCAGTTTAAGATACTGCTCTATCCACGGCCTCGTAAGTTGCTCTTGAAGTTTAATCATAAATTTTTTTACCCACTCTTTGTAAATTGTGAATAAAAATAATCCATGCATTTATACATCCCATATTGAGCATACTATAAAACATAAACTGGGGCCACCTACGTGTCTTTCTGCTACAGCTCTTGTGTCCACACATTTGATCAAAAACATCTACACCTCCTTTTGTTTCATTATAGTGTAAAATTATCTCCGGTTTTTTAGTTGTTTGACAAATAATAGAGCCTTCATCCATAGTAGATAATACCAAAACACTTTGTTTTATAAGATACAAAGGTTTTATCTTTATCATAACAAAATATTGAGCAGCAAACTTTCCTATCTTTGATGTTAATCACGCTTTTTCTTACCCAAGGTTCCTATCATTGTCAGGTTAAAAGGAGGCTGCAAGAGCTGGTCAGCCAAAGTAATGGAAGTGAACCAATTGTCCATTGTGATGTTACGGTTACTTCCATGTATTGTTTTGGTCTACCCTTTTACGTAATACTCACCCAATGGGATTCCATTAGTTTTTGTATGTTTACCAAGGTAAGGTTGAGCATCAAACATATATTTTGTAGCTACATCATGAGTTATAACGATCTTTATTCCGTATTTTGATGGTTTACTAGGTATATACATCTTAAACGGACAACGACCTCTAAATCCTAATAACTGCTTATCGCTTGTTACGTAGCTACCGGGCTTATATGATACATTATAATTTAAAAGTATTAAAAGTAATTTTAAAAAACCAACTTCAAAATCATGCATATTCTATCACCACATCTTAACCAAATTTATATGGGACCACCCCTGAGGCATCCCATTTACTAACAAAAAATAATTTTAGAAACCGGACAAGGTGGTAAAGAATTATCGCTAAACATATTTTAAAAATGAAGAGGTTGAGGATTTTCTCATGGGCCCAATTAATAAATTTTGACCAAGTTCATATAGGACCACCCTTAAAGTACCTTCTTTCTAACAAAAAAGAATCATTGAAATCGGACACCGTGCTAAAGAATTATCGCTGAATATACATAAAAAAAAAAGAAAAATATACCTACCAACGAATTGAGAACCTCCTCCTTTTTTGAAGTCGGTTAAAAATAAACTAGTCCCAGATTTCTCATATTGGCGCAAATTTATCTAGTACCCTTCTTTTAGCTCGCGTCGTTTTTGTCGTCGAACCGCAAGTTATAACAAAAATTCAAATCCTTCATAACTCATTGTTGCTCTGTAAATAGAACCCGACATTTTGGAGTCAAACATTTCTCTGGTACTCAGATGATTATTTTTTTGGGCACCAACAAATATAAGTAGACCAGCTGGGGAGTCGAGTTATTTCCTAGTGACAGGAGTAACAGTGGATTGTGATACTTTATACTTTCTAGAACTTATTGCTATATGCTCATTTGTATGGGTCAAAATTTTTCAAAAAATGTTCATCCATAATGCTACGAAATGCTGCTAAAGGTGAGTCAGTGTCTCGTGTAGCTCCAGATGTGCAGAATATTTTTTTTATACACGCTTACGTATATTGGAAGCTGTATGGCAGCGATGATCATTTTTACCTTTTAAACCTTTTTTTATTGGTTTGTTAGTTTTAGATTTGAGTTCTTAAGTTATTTTCGTGTAGCGTGTTTTCCAATAAAACTTCTTCTTTATCTTCGATATTGTCTACGTTGCTTGATATATTTTCTTGCATATCATTAATAGGAACATTTGCACTTTGCTAAACAGCTTAATTTCTTTCTTCTTCTATATCTTTACTTTCGTTATCAGAAGTTTGTTTTTTTATTTGGCTTTGTCTCTTGAGCTATTTTTCTGCTTCTTTCCGGCCTACTAGGACCATTTTCTTCTGAATCACTGCTTATTAACTGACCGAAAAAAGTTAGGGATATTGTGTATTCACTATGAAAGAATTTTTCTAGAAAAAAATGTGGTATAGCTATTTGTAAAGATATAAAGTTGTGCCCAAATAGATAAAAAGCATTATCACAAATAATGTAGATTTTATTTTTGTAAAGTTTAGTTTTGTTTGTGTGCTGCTAAGCACAGTTTGCTATATTGTGGTTATTCTGCTATCGACAAAATGAATAGACATTTAACAGTAGAGGAAGCAAATCAAGCTATTGGGATGCTTCTTGGAGGTGCGCGACAGATCGATGTGGCTGATCGGTATAATGTCTCTGAAAGTGTAATTTCTCGACTTAATAATCAATTTTATGAGACTTGATCTGTCATGGACAGGCATACGGAGGGTAGACCAAGATCGACAACTGCTAGGGAAGACCGAATATTAGTAAGAGGAGCCAGGATGGATCCTACAACAAACTCCACGTTGCTCAGCCAGCACCTTTTCGCTGCCTGTCGAATTCGTATTACCCATTGGACATTTTTAAACCGATTGAATGAAGCAGGTTTACGTTGCTATAGGCCTATAAGACGCCCTCCACTTACCGCAGTCCATAAAGCACAACGTTTGCTTTGGTGTAATGAAAGGGCCAACTGGAATGATGAATGGCGCACTGTGATGTCCAAATGGCTACCAGTGGGTTATGACCACTGATCTGTATTATAACAGATCAGTGGTTATGACAGTTTAGATATGGCAACCCTGTTGTCAAGTTGTCATTAACAGGGTCAATGATACATATATAGTTATATAGATTGCTCATAGCTGGTCGTTTACGAGCGGCCATATTGCCTGGCAAATATTTATTAATTTGAATCGGTTTAGCAAAAATGTGTTTTAAAACCAATTATTAGCCTTTAGATATTTAAAAAAAATAATTGTTTACATTTTTACTTCAAGGCATAAGCTTATGTTTATTTTAAAAAATATGGATAATCAATCTATGTAACTATCTATTTAATTGACCTTGTAAAATCACCAGGCCTACAGGGTTGCCATAATTCTGCCATATCATAATCCGTCAAAACCCACTGGTAGCCATTCAGTTTGGAATGCCTAATTTCTAGACCGCCCCTGTAACATTTACTTAAGTAATATTTCACAGCTAGGTTGGCAAACTCAATAAAGTGAAATTAACTAGCGCGCTTGCTGTCCAATACAGATACACGAATTTGAAATCAATAGTAGTGACTGGACAAAGAATAGTTGTTGGTTATATGTATGCTCGAAAATGATTGCGCGAGCCTCAACGGTTTTTAAACCTAACCAGATTTGTCTTACCGTTTATATATACCATACACATCAAAAAGGGTATTAAAAACCATGCTAAAAAGACAAAATTATAAATATTCTAAGTAAGGAGTTTGTGTGTATATAGTGTAAATACAAATCAGATTATGTAATGTGGTGTTCTCTTTACAAAATAAACAGTGTCAAATGCAGATGTTCTTGTTTTCTTCTTTTGTCGATAGTTTAGTCCAAAGCCGACAGCTTTTTAAAAACATGGATTACAGTCAGCTTTTGAAATATATCCTGGTGGAGCCTCCAGAGGATAAAAACTTTAACAGGCTTCATAACAACTACTTTGTTTACGAGCTCTTTGGGCTAGAGCGTAGTCGGTCGAATATACTAACACACTGTATAATTTTCAACAACTTCGGCAGCATGTTACAGGTTACAGAAGTTATATCATAGAACTAAATAATGTATACTATACTACCACCATTTTACATTAATTAGTCCAGCCTCAAGAAAAGCGATACCTGTAATTTTTTCTCTTGAAAAATTCTAGTTTATAACGTAATAAATCGAACTACACAAATATATCATAACGGTTCGTTTGATCAGCACAAAAAAAAATAGTCCATCCGCACAATTTGTAATACCTTAGTTATTACTTTCAACATTTAATTGGTTGGTTGAAAGATACATAGTGATTTCTAATATTAATTGATTGGATTGAAGAACGTTATTTATATATGAACAAACGTGTTTCTTATATAAGTGTAATTGATTTAATCCGATCAAATCGTTTTCAAAACATAAATTACCAATACTAACTAAGAGCTTTATTGCAAATAAAAAAATCAAAATTAATAAAACAATAATATTTAATAAAATACAGTTGAAATTATTTGTTTATTCTTTATCCTTATGATTTCCATTCTTAAACGTCGGTCAATCGAATGATAAGACTCCTCTCCCTCCTACCATCACAATTAAATCACACTATTATTGTATATTTTTTTTATATTTATTAATACTATAATATCTAATTCTATGTTTTATTTATTCCAGCTGACAGTCCTTGCAGAAGAAGTAGAAGTAGTAGAGGCCATCCAAGGTACCGAGGAAGTAAAAGAACTTAATAAAAATGAAAAAGAACCAAGTTCGGACCAGTTAGCATTAGAATCACTCGAAGAACAAGGCGATCCTCCTCAAAATCTCCCGTATAGCGGCAATCCTCCTAGAAATCCCAGTCAGCCATCAAGAAACAATGGCGGTCATTACAGCAACCACAAGCCCTTCCCTGGTCAAAAGAACACCAACAACCCATTCGATACTAAGATTTCGTACAATGGGCCACCGCCTCCACCAATTAAGCAAGCTATGGATAAATACGGTTCGGATGTTGGGGATATTTGGCCAGCCCCTGCACCTGATATGCCAAAAATACTCTCGTTAGATGTTAAATGTGAAAAGAATTTAATGAAAGTATACATAGGTTTCGATAAGCCCTTTTACGGCATTGTTTTTAGTAAAGGCCATTATAGCAACGTCCACTGCGTTCATCTACCTGCAGGTTTAGGAAGAACATCTGCCCACTTCGAAATTGGTATCCATGCTTGTGGAACCTCGGGTAACACTGAAAACGGATTGTATGGATATGGAGCAGAATCTGGATCAGGGACTTACTTTGAAAATATTATTGTTATACAGTACGATCCTCAGGTACAAGAAGTATGGGATCAAGCTAGGAAGTTAAGATGTACTTGGCATGATCAGTACGAAAAATCTGTCACCTTTCGACCGTTCCCCGTAGACATGCTTGATGTTGTAAGAACTGACTTCGCAGGTGACAACGTTGGATGCTGGATGCAAATTCAAGTGGGCAAAGGACCTTGGGCTTCCGAAGTTTCGGGTTTAGTAAAAATTGGTCAAACTATGACCATGGTTCTTGCAATCAAAGACGATGACAATAAATTCGATATGTTAGTTAGAAATTGTATGGCACATGACGGTAAACGAGCACCTATACAATTAGTTGATCAAAGAGGTTGTGTTACAAGACCTAAGTTAATGTCTAGGTTTACCAAGATTAAGAACTTTGGTGCTAGTGCTTCTGTTTTGTCATATGCTCATTTTCAGGCATTTAAGTTTCCTGATTCCATGGAAGTGCACTTCCAATGTACCATTCAGATTTGCAGGTATCAATGTCCGGATCAATGTTCCGATTCATCAGGACAACATCTACATGGTTTGCTTGAATTGGTCCATGGTCCTCCTGATACTGGTTATGGAGTCCCTCCTCTCCAAATTGAAACTTATCTTCATCAAGGAAGACCTAGAGATGAAAGAAGAACAAAGAGAGCTTTAGCAGTTGATCCAGAAAAAGAAGTTGGAGTTAATAGGGTAATTAGGGTAGTTTCGACAGGAGATCTTACTTTCTCGATAGATGAGAATACTAATACTACAACGCCTCCCACTATGGTGTTTCCAGCTAGAGAAGAAATAACAAACAGTGGTTTAATATGTATGACCACACCTGGCTTCGCAGCTACATTAGTAGTACTTCTCGCGATATTAATAATATCTTGTTTAATGTCAGCATTTTTGTGTGTTCGATTAAGACCGTTCGCAGAAAATAAATTAGCCGGTGTTATAGCTTACACAAATTCTCAAAAACGAAAATCCAAAGGCTGTTTCTATTCGTAATGGTCAAAATGATAATAAAAGGGTAAAATTCGAGGTAACGATTAAATGGCTACATGCTTGGTCATATACCAGAAAATCCATTAATAATGATTTATTAGTGAGTTTTTAGTTTTTCCTCAGTAAGGGATGGCCCAGTGTAATGGATATGTTTTCTTGAAACTATTTTCGGGTATTTATAGCACATAAATTAACATAAGGGTACTATTTATTTAGATTTTTCTTATGTTATTATTACAAAAATCTTACTGCTGTTCTGTATTCATCGATATCGAGCTTCGAAATGTCAATGATGATGATTATTAAATGAATCTCTTCCATGTCGACTTAATCTACTAATTCCTACTTTTAAATATAATGTTTTTATTTGGCATACCTTTTAATTTAAAAATGTTCAGTTGGCGAGAAGTGATCCAATTCAAAAATAGCGTATTTAAGGATTGAATTGAAGTCTTATGGTTTTTTAGCCTTTTAGCTAAATAACACCATTAACATACTGGATAAACTTTGGAATCGTTTATTTATATAAATTATATTTTCTGAAAACTCAAAAACTAAAACTAACGTCAGAATTTAAAACGTCTTCACTTAACCATGACAAACAATCTAAAGAGCTTATCTAACAGTTCACCACAGTACTTCCCCCTAGTGCTAACAAAATGTAACTTTTTTATTTTGTTTAACATTATTCAGATCTTGATTTTCCAGAAACGCTGGTTTAATTATATCTATAGATATAACCTTTTCTTTATTATTATATAATATTTTAAAAACCTAAAGGTCCTAAATATGAATACTGCAAAGGTTTTTTAATAGCATCATCCCAAACAAAAACATGAGAGCAAGTTCCTTAAAAATAAAAATGTTATGTTTGTTGTGATTTAATCCTTGAACAGGTTTCAGCTTGTCCATTGTTTCACGAAAATTATAAAAATATTCTCAATTATTTTAAATAGGATTTAAATTTTCTAACAGCATTTCACCAGGAATTCTTAAAGTAGCTCCATATACTAGTTTAGCAGATGATGAACCCAAAACTTCTTTAAGAGCCGCTCTTATTCCTAAAAGAACCATAGGAAGTTTTTAAGTCCATTTATTATGACCATGACATTTCAAAGCAGATTTTAGGGTATGGTGGAATCTTTCAACCATTCCGTTGGCACATGGATGACAGGCAGTAGAGTGAATGTGTTGAATTCCAAGGATTTATGAAAATTCTTGAAATAGTGACAATTCACATTGACGGCCTTAATCAGTTGTGATTTTTAGTGATATTCCAAATCGGCTTACCCATCCATTAAAAATAATTTTTGCAACTTCCATGGCTGTAATATATTTAAGTGGAAATGCTTCTGGTCACCTTATAAACCTGTCTATACAAGTTAAAATATATCTAAAACCATTAGATGGAGGTAAACGATCAACAATATCTATGTTAACCACTAACGACCATCCCAAGATGCAAAAGTACATCTCGCACCTGTTCTCTATTAAAATGTTGCAAGTGTATTTTCATGCTCGCCTCCATTGTCGGTTCAATCACGTCAGGGGTCACCAATTTAGCCTTTTAGCTAAATAACACCATTAACATACTGGATAAACTTTGGAATCGTTTATTTATATAAATTATATTTTCTGAAAACTCAAAAACTAAAACTAACGTCAGAATTTAAAACGTCTTCACTTAACCATGACAAACAATCTAAAGAGCTTATCTAACAGTTCACCATAGTACTTCCCCCTAGTGCTAATAAAATGTAACTTTTTTATTTTGTTTAACATTATTCAGATCTTGATTTTCCAGAAACGCTGGTTTAATTATATCTATAGATATAACCTTTTCTTTGTTATTATATAATATTTTAAAAACCTAAAGGTCCTAAATATGAATACTGCAAAGGTTTTTTAACAGCATCATCCCAAACAAAAACATGAGAGCAAGTTCCTTAAAAATAAAAATGGTATGTTTGTTGTGATTTAATCCTTGAACAGGTTTCAGCTTGTCCATTGTTTCACGAAAATTATAAAAATATTCTCAATTATTTTTAATTGGATTTAAATTTTCTAACAGCATTTCACCAGGAATTCTTAAAGTAGCTCCATATACTAGTTTAGCAGATGATGAACCCAAAACTTCTTTAAGAGCTGCTCTTATTCCTAAAAGAACCATAGGAAGTTTTTAAGTCCATTTATTATGACCATGACATTTCAAAGCAGATTTTAGGGTATGGTGGAATCTTTCAACCATTCCGTTGGCACATGGATGACAGGCAGTAGAGTGAATGTGTTGAATTCCAAGGATTTATGAAAATTCTTGAAATAGTGACAATTCACATTGACGGCCTTAGTCAGTTGTGATTTTTAGTGATATTCCAAATCGGCTTACCCATCCATTAAAAAAATTTTTTGCAACTTCCATGGCTGTAATATATTTAAGTGGAAATGCTTCTGGTCACCTTATAAACCTGTCTATACAAGTTAAAATATATCTAAAACCATTAGATGGAGGTAAACGATCAACAATATCTATGTTAACCACTAACGACCATCCCAAAATGCAAAAGTACATCTCGCACCTGTTCTCTATTAAAATGTTGCAAGTGTATTTTCATGCTCGCCTCCATTGTCGGTTAAATCACGTCAGGGGTCACCAATTTAGCCTTTTAGCTAAATAACACCATTAACACACTGGATAAACTTTGGAATCGTTTATTTATATAAAATATATTTTATGAAAACTCAAAAACTAAAACTAACCTCAGAATTTAAAACCTCTTTACTTAACCATGACAACCAGTCTAAGGAGCTTATACGGGGTCTAACAGTTTACCACAGTTTATTGCGTTATAAATACATCGTAATTCAAAATTCAGATCACAGGATGAGCAGCAATTCTGACTTTTACAAAGCTCATGGTCCATTTAAACAGTGAGATGTATGGGTAGAACGCTTGATATATTGAGGCTGCAGTATCGCCATGCTAACCCTAACGGAGAAACAAGCAGGCTGGTCTAAGCTGGATTGAGGGGATCCAGAGCCTACTATAATCCCTCACGGGAGCAGAGGGTTGTCAGAAAGGTCAAACAGAAATCCTTTTTTTCTATCAATTTATTAGAATTGCTGTTTTACCTTTACCAGTTTGTATTGGATTCGGTTTATTTTTTGTGGTTAGGGTGTCCCTTATATGGATGAAAAAAATTTTTTTTTCGGAAATCGAATTGCATATCCCGTATTTCTTTTTAAACTATCAAGACTTACTAAATACAATGTTTATCTGTCTACGTCTGCATTAATCCCTGTCGACAGAGCTCTGAAGATTTTGAAAATTGGTGTTTTAACCCTTTCCGTTATGCAGCTAAATCAATTAAAATATATGTATTTTATAAAAATTATAATCTTAAAGATAAGGTACTTATTTATTAAAAGAAGATAAAATTACAGATCAGGTAGAATAATTTCTGTTGAGGGTCTATTTTTTTACAGTCTGGATACAGATTTCTATGTATCATTAACTGCCCTTAAGGAAATAACTTTTCTTTTTGTCTCTTAATAGGCAACATCTTCGTCCCATGAAGAAACGGGTCTCTGGAGGAAATTCTCATCAATTTTTAATCGAGAAAATTAATTTTAATCTAAACAGACACAAAATCACTTAATGATTTTCGTGCAACAATAGATAAAGCAGTATTATTATCAGTTTAGTGAAAACATTATAAAAAATAAATGTATTCCTACTTACCATACAAATAATCAGATATATCTTCTTTCGATGGAATGTATCTCTTCCCAGACTCATTCAAACGCTCTCTTTGTAAGTTTAGTACAACATTTCCTTTGCTTTTTTCATCAACTTCATCATCAAAGAATGATAGAAGGGCAATTTCTCCTAACAAGTACCAAAGATGTTGACTAAAAACTTGCTCAGAGCTGTTTTGGAGATGATTTTGTCAAACAGTTTCATATTCCTTAAGCCTCTTTAAAAATCACAAATCTTGATTTGGTGCCTTCACCGCCAGATTACATTGAAGTCATACATATATAAACGCAATGAAAAAACAAAAGTCTTGAAATGCTCGTTTATCTTTGGCACTAATTGCAACAAATATATTTTTAAAGAAAGAATTGAGGGTTTAATCAGTCACATACAATGCTTTTTTGTAATTTTTGATTATAATTCTTATATTGTTGTATAACAAAAAGTTTGTGTGACGATATCGGTGTAGGTTTCAATAGCAGCAGGAATAATAGTTTTCCAGTTGTCTCTAAACTTTTTGAACATTGTGATATCAGGGCTACTTGTGATTTGGTGGAGTTTTGTTTTGAACACACATTTTAAAACCAGTTCGTAAACGTGATGGAGGCAAGCAAAGAGTACTAATTCGATGTCAAGTTTTTGTTCCAAAAGTACACAAGCCCCTTTCAATCGCCCTGTATTAGACTCAGTTGTGTCACAGCACATTATTTGTACTTTGACATCAAGATTCCAATCATAAAGTGCATTTAACACAGCTTTAGCTTGATGTTGACCGGAATAGCTCTTCAGTTTGTGTACAGCCAGAAGTTGTTTCTATTCTCCATATAAAATTATAATTGGCAGGCGTTCTTCTTTAGAACTTCTCACGTCCATTCCCGGTAATAATTGCCCATCCCAGTGAACTATCACTATTTCAGGCATATTATTCTGAAAATACGATTTTATAAATTCCGCTCTATCTTTTTCACTCTGTGTGCGAATGCGTTGAATGGACGATTTGTTCATCATAGCTAAGATCTAGTGTTTCTGCTACAGCCTGAAGTATGTAAACAGAATCTCTTATGCTTAATTGACATCTATCTAAGGCTGCAACTAACTTAAGCGTGACAAAGTCTTTCATTCTTTTTTTTTTAGTAGTTCCAGAACTTACCGTTTGAGAGGTGGAAGGTAAGGGTTCCTCAAAGCTTTCATCAGAGCTGGTAGATTGATCGTGATGTTCTTGCGTTTGTATAAAATCTTGTGTTGTAAAAGAGGACGGTAAACTCCTGAAACACATTTGCTCATGTCTTTTTTCTCTTCTTTTAATTTTCTCTATCTTGCCCTTTTTTCTTTCTTAGCTGACTTTTTGTCTACACCCGCTAAACACCCTGGTTCTCTTTGTTTTTGTAAAAATAATTTATCTTCTTCGATTTTCATTCGTTCTAAAGTATCAGTGTGCGCTATATGGAATAAATTATCCAAATTGTTTTGAAAGTCCACCTCAGGGA